CCCCAAAACCCCAAAACCCCAAAACCCCAGGTAATAAATATAATTGTTTGAAGGTGGAATTTAAATTTAAGAAATATCATAAATGGATCGAAGAGAAGATAATGAAGAGGATAATTACTCAGATTCTGAGAACTCTCCAAGTCATGATAGTCCCGGTGCTTACTTCGATGATAAGAATTACTACCAACATTAAAAAGGCCATTATTAGATGGAGTAGTAGATTCAGAGATAAACTTAGTCTAATATTAATAGCAGGCAATAACTGATAGATGATGAACTTTAGAATGAACTTATAAGCAGGAGATAGCAATTAGAATATTAAAATCAAATGAGATCCACAGTTCCACCAAGTCAAATTGTATAAGACAGAATTTAAAAGCTTTTCAATGAAACCAAGGATATATAAAAGAGAGTTTAGCAGGACTAGTCTTACCAAAAGTCAGACCGATAGGAAGAGCAGTATTAAAATTTGAAAAATGATTACTTTTCATCTGACCCAAATATGGATCTCAAAGATAGTTTGAGATTTGCTGAAACTTAGATAAATAGAATGAAGGATACAAATATCTAACTAACAAAGAGATATGAGCATGCTCAGGAGGAGATAGAGAAGTCACATGATTAAATTGCTAGATAAGCCTAGCACAATCATAACTTAAAACTTTAAAATGAACGACTTTAACAAGACTTGGATGAATTAGTTATGCAGAATTAAAATTTGCTTTAAAGGCAATCAGAGGATGCAATCTCATTCGAGAGAAGAATTGAACACCTATCATAGGAATTATAGCAGTACAAAAAGATGATGATATCAAAAGATGATAGCTTACGGTAGATATAGTTGGCAAATGAACAACTAAAAGAGAAAAATTTTTAGTTTGAGAGTGAAATCTCACTTAAGATTGAGGAAATTGATAATCTAAGGAATGAAGCAAGGAAAAAAGAAGAGCTACTTGATTAGTTCTTTTTGAATCGAGGTGCAGAGACTGCATTCAAAATTGAAATGGAGTAGTTAAGAGAGGATAATAAGAGATTAATGAAGCTTCTTAAATCTACTAAAGAGTATTAGGAATTCGCTAATTATGTCGAAGATTCAGGTGGAAACGTTAGAAATGTTGAGAAGGACTTTGTCACTCAGTATGAACAGTAATTACCAGCTGAAGATGAAAATTGGGTTCCATAAGAGGCATTTACATTGGCTCACTAATTTAGAGAGAAAAGTGGCAATGAACTTACACCTCAACTGGTGAATTAATTACTTCAAGATTTGAACAAGATTTGGAGGGAGAGAGAAAAAAAGCAGATATAAAGAATCAAGTAATAGTCTTAAAATGAAATCATCTAACTTAAAAGGTAACTGAGTCATAGAACTACTTTTGATGAGGTTCATGCAAAGAAAAATATTTCTAGATTAAAGAATAAATTGCATACTGTCAAAACTGAGCTCTCCAAGACTTAGGCTGTCAAAGATAAAGCTAAATAGCAGCCTGTAGGGATCGATTTAGTTGATAACACCCTCTAAATCATAACTTCAATGCAATAGCAGAGAAAGCTAATAGAGTAGGAGAATTAAGATTTGAAAGATAAATTGAAGAAATTTGAGATGATTAGGGGCAACTAAGATTATGATAAAGCAAAATATATGGAGGGAGCAGTTTGGATGGGAAAAAGAGTAACCAATGAAATTGAGAAAGTGTGCACTTCGATCGAGAGTATAATTGCTGAATACAATACCAGAACAGCTGGCGTTACTTTCAACAATCAACAAATGAATATGTCTAATTCTTTTGGAATGAAACAATAGTAACAGGATATTCAAACTGTGCAGAGAGCTCAAATCTGGCTTCTTGAAGCTGTAAAGCAATGCACTTTTGAAATGTATGAAACTAGCATTACGATGCTAGAATCTGCTGTGTATCATATGGAAGATGCCTAAAATAAATTAGGAGAAGTAGACTTGCTGGGTTCAGTTACCAGAGATCTAACAAATTTGAATATCAGAACATCTCAAAATGACTAATTAAGGAATCAGAATTTAAACCCTAATTATATGATGAGCACAAATAAAAGTAGCACAATGAAAAGACCTCTAGAAAAGCATTCTTATACTGATTATGAAAAGAGCTAGTCATCAGAGGGTGACGTAGAGTCAATGTTTAGAGCTACAGCCAGATTTTAATAATGATTTATAAATAATTCTAATTATATTGTAACTTTTAAAGAAATAAAGAATCTTGTTAATCATATTCTATTAATCAATAGCTCTTTAGTTGCTTCAATTAAATTTCTAAATAAGTTTGATCAGCTTCTGTTCTATGCTGTCAAGTTACTTTCTGTAAAATATAAGATTTTTCCGTTGGAAATCCATGACGTCTCCATTTGCTCCATACTTCTTAATATACTTATCTACCAATATTGGAATATCATACTCATTATGAAACAGCTTGAGATCTTATGCAAATAATAAAGTATCAAATCCCACTTGCTTATTCTTTATATCCCCTAATTTTTATTTTACTGCACTTACTACTTTCATACCTAATGGAGACATAGGTGCCTCTCCTTTCTTATCTTTTTCATTATACTGGGACGAGTTTTTCTGATCATCTTTGTAATTATAGAAATCATCTATATTATCTATTGACTAATCGTTTGAGGCTTTTATTTTGCTTGGCAGCTGCTTGAGATAGTCCACTAAAGTAGATTTTTCTTACTTTTGTTTGAAGCTTAGAGTTTTTTCGTTTACTACATGATTTTAAATTGACTATATAGCTTTCAAATTGGTCATTGAGTCCTCTTTAGCCAGAATAATCAAATCTCTTAATGTTCTTTCAACTATCGCTTGCCTTATTGCTTCTTACTTTTCGCTCTCTTTTATCTTTTGATTTTAAAGATACCGTTCTAGTGAATTTACAGACGTAGCATCAGCGTTTCTTTCAGACTCCAGGATTTGATTATCATTTTGCTGGTCACTTTGATCCATTAATTTTTAAATATCGATATGACCACCAAAATAGTCCTGGATCACTTCATCATAGAATTTGTAGGGCCCGAATTCTTCAATACATTATTTAACTGCTTTCAGCACATCAGTTTTCTCATTGACATTAGTCATATCTTTTGAACTAACAAGTTTATTGAAACTATTGAGGTTAGCTTTTCTCTTCAGAAGACTTTGAAGTTTCTATTAATGAGATGGAGCTTTCAATGAAACTTATTTTCTATAAGTCAATCTTTTCTTCATAGATGTCTTATTTGGACTTAATATTGCAATCGGTTACATGACACTATTTTCATTATCATCATGTCTGAATGTATCAATATTTTAGCTTATCTCAGACTCATCAAATTAATTATCGTGCTGATTCTTGATCATAATATTCTTATTTTGTTTAGTGCTCTCAGTATTTTATACAGGTGAAAGTAGCTTACTGATATCATTATTAATACTGGTCTTATCATTCATCTATTTCATTATGAGGGTTTATTCCTGAGTAGATTTATCTGCTATACTTTGTTTTGTAAATCTGGTCATATTCATGTGATGATGATTATTATTACTTTTCATGTATGAATTGTTCGATTTTATGAAGTCCCTCAATTCATGATGTTGTTATTTTTCTGACTTTTCATAAAACTTTCTTTGCTTTGTATTTGTGTTCTTAAGCTGATTCTTTTTCATATGAATTAGACTAAGTTTCTACAATAATGAAGCCTTGAAATTTCTATGGATGTAATGCCTCAGGGCGCTTTGGACTTCATTTCTCGACTCATCTTCTTCATCTAATAGTTTTTCTACTTTCTCTGATGATTAATATATCAATTCATCTATCCTCTCAATTACATCAATTAACTGTTATTTTACCTTATCATTGTGGACTTAATCATACTTATGATATAATTTCTCAAGAAATAAAGTTGCCATTTCTATATGTTCTTCTATCTTATGTGGATCTGGCTTGTTCTTTTCTTTTTCCTGGAGTAACTATTTTATGATAGTCCTAAGTGATTAGATTATACTGGTAACTTCAAAATGCTTTTTGACTTCATCTGAGTATTCTTTTTGAGGATACTGGCTTATTTAAGATTGATTGATTCCCCCAAAACTGTTATTATTTGTGATAAATGACGATTTATTATTGAGATGAGGGAACAGCTAACTTTAGCTTTGACTTTTTAATAACGATGAATTTTGACCCTAATAAATTTTCTCACTCCTTGAAGCCTTTAGATTTTTGATATCTGATTCAGTTGAACTAGCTTTTTGAATCTTGTATGAGTTCCTACTAATCTCATTTTAGAATAAATCAGTCAAACTCTAGTTATTTAGGTTTTTTTGTTGCAGTTTTTACAAGTCAGCCTCGTATAATATCTCTTAAGTAAGAACTTATTCAGATAAGGCTCGCTTCATTTTGTCCTATTCTTTTAGGGTCTAGAGTACAACATCTTTTTTCTAATCAATGTTTATTTAAGGTAGTTAAAGTGATTAATCGACTCTGAATTATTTTCTATCGTTAAATGCTTAAAATCTTGCCTTTAAATACTCTTCACTCTTAAGGTAAAGCGTCTAGGTTATTTTATGTCTTAGAGTTTCCATTATCAAATTTCTACCTTTATCCTTAGGCTTCTATTCACATCTAAATACTTAATATGGCTTTTTGCCAATTGGTTTCTTAAATAGTGAGGCCTAGTTTTCATGAGATTAAAATACTAAGGCTTAAGTATTTTTTGAGTAGCTATCTTGAATGCCTGCGTAAGGTCTTGCCCATCTTCTTGGCTGCACAATTGTATCATAAGTATTTAGGAAGTCAGTGTCACTTGGATTAAATAGAGTTCCTGATGTGGAGTTATAATGGAAATGTAAATCTAGATACTCAGTTGAGAACTGAGGATACTTTCTGACGAAGTTAGGTTCAAAGATCACCATATCCTCCTTCAAACCATCCTCAAAAATATCGAATATGAAACTCTTAACACTCCTTGATGTCATTACTTTATGCTTTAAGAACGGTCTGTTCATAAGCTTATCAAGAATGTCCTAGTGTGGATTCTTAGAAACCTTTACTGTTGATTTTTCAGCGTCGCCTGCTGGCTTGAATGACTTTAGATGGCCGTAACTCTCTTTTATATCACGCATTACTTAAATAATATTGTTATAATCATTTTCATTCCCTATATTTTATTAGCTCTATTTTAGAAACGAGGGGTTTTGGGGATGTATTAAAAGGGGGTATTGAATTATG